TGCTTTTGACTGGGATAGAGTTAATTTTTTTCATAGTAGCTGACTCCAACTGACCAAAGGCATACCCCACACCAATAGGGTGTCACACTCAGCATATAAATCTAGGGGAAGAAGGAACCTGATTATAAAATTTCCAGATCACATAACTGAAAATATGCAAATAAAAAACTTGTGACGACGTTCAAACAACAGAGGTATATGAGAAAGAGGTAGGGGGATTAACACTCCCATGTACTTCAAAACTGGTTATTTGGATATAGCCTTCTTTGGTCACTGAGGATCTTATGATTTGCATTAATCTCTAGCTTAAAGAGCACTGTGTGGAAACAATTCTATTAGTAGGAGAGAAATTCTATGCTATTCCTAACTCTTATGCAAATCATAATTTCTGGTATGTATTTTTGAGTTAGCATCCAGAAAACACAATTTTCTTTTTGAAACTTGACACAGAGACAATACAAGAAGAACAAACAGAAGCACAGAACTTGCCAAACTTTATTTGTAGCCAGCTTCTTGTCCCTTATGCATCTGAATTAGCTTCTTCCTCCTTTTTAATTCCATTTCACTTCACTGCCCCTTCTAAAGAAGACTGAAATTATTCTGGGATATACTTTCTTTTCAAAAAGTCAGAAGTCAGAGGGAAAGAAATGTTTCCTCATATCTGCAAAAGCTAATTTAAATTTTGGGTTAGGCCATTACGGCTTTCCATGAAGCTCCAGTTTCAGTTAGGATTTGCTTTTCACTTCACCTGAAAAGAAGTGTGGTTTACTTCTTTCACAATTGGAAGAAAAAAAAATGAATGTCTTCAAACACAGGCAGCTACCAGATCAGAGAATTGTAGAATAATGAGGTTGGAAGTGACCACTGGCAGTCTCTAGAGGAACCTAACTTCTTCTCAAAGTGATATCAATATGAGATCACACCAGGTTGCTCATGACTTTATCACGTTAGACACTGGAAATCTCCAAGGATGGAGATGGTAAAACCTCTCTGGCAACTTGTTCCAACGATGGACAGCCCCTGTGGAACAAGTTTTCCCTTGTAACCTGTCTGAAATGCTCTTGTTTCAATTCAAGTCAGTTGTTTCTCACCCTGTTGTCATGGAGCACTGTGAAGAGGTCGCCTTTCTTGACAACCTCTGCACAGACTCTGTTAGGCTGCCATTAGGTCTCCCTGGAGCCAACAAAGAAAGGAATATTTTTCCTTTCCCAGGCTGTACAAGAGCACTACCCTTGGTCTCTCTTTACATTGCAAATGCTATGGCTTCCTGACTGTACCAGTTGCCCTCTGTCAAACTTTCTACAATTTATAGATGTCTTACTTTTACTGGGGACCCAAATCTGAATAGTGTATTCTAGATACCAAGAATCTTCCCTCTGGAGAAAATAGAAGGGGATTTTATATTTTTCCCCTGAAGGTCTCCACTTGTTTCCCTCCTTTAGGCATGTCTGTGTGAACTTACTTACACATACAGATAGTCTGGACATAAGTATCTCTCCCCTGATTTTGTATGATCAAATGATACTTTGCTTTTCCTGGATTATGCTAGTGTTAGTGAAAGTCAGGTTGATATAAAAATGCACATTTTAATGTCATTGTTTACACATGTATGCATACAAAATAGTTAATATACACACACAGTCATTACTTTTGCGACCAAATCCTTGAAATGTTATTGTGTGTTAAGGCACAAGTACAAGTGATGTAGATATTACTTCTATGCTTTAATGGAAGCCTCTAGTTTGTTTTTTGTTGTTGTTGTTGGGTTGTTTTGTTCTGTTTTGTTTGTTTATTTGTTTTTGTTTTCCTAGATTTATTTCTTCTAAGTTAAAGGATGATGTAGTGTCCTGGTTCTGGCCAGCACAGGGTAAGTTTCTGCAGTAGCCAGGAGGGAGCATGGCTATGGCCCAGAGGATACTCCACCTCATGACATTTTCCAGCTGGGGGAGAAGGGAGTCTTTTCTGGGGAGAAGGGGCTCCTTCCCATTGGGATAGTGTGGCTGTGGTTGGGGTTAGAATTATGCATGTGAATCACTCTGTCTCTTTTGTATGCTTTAAAAATTAATAATGTAGCTGTTACTGTTAATTTTCTTTTCTCATTGCTGTTTGCAGTAAATTATTCTTATCTCAACTCCTGATCTTCACCTTCTTTGCCCCGATTCTCTTTTCCATCCTGTTGCAGGGGAAGAAGTGGGAGGGGGAAGGGGGAATGAGTGAGTAGCATGTGTTTTGGAGAGTCTCAGCAAGGCCACTAAACTGGGGAGTACCATTCCTAAACCATGACTCATAGAAATCTCAGTTAAAGAAAGAAGAAAAAGAATAAAGTAGGATAAATGCTTTTTGTAAGGCCAGGGAAGACCTAATAGCAAAAGGAGAAGTCACCTAATGAGCCAAAATTGTTAAGCCCCTGTCATGCTGGGGCTTAAGACAGAAAGTGTAAGCAACTGGTGAAGACATGAGAGAACAGTAGGTGAAGGGAATATGCACCCAGCATTGTCAGATTGCAGCTTTACAGTTCTCATGAAGATTGGAGCATGTGTGTAAGCCTATATTTTGCTCACTGGGGAATTATGAAATCCAAAAAAGAGAAGCAACTCCAGGGAATACAGTCTTGAACAGCAAATCACACAGCTAACCTACTTGGATCAAAGCAGCAAACTTCCACCCCAGTTCAAAACAGACTGTCTAAAAACACTCCCAGTGCTTGTTCTAGACTACCATAGCATGGCAAGCCCTATGAGGAAATAAAAAGACCCAGCAGACATCTATACACGTGTCCCTTCCACATACACAGAGTGCAAACTTTCATTCATTTGGGATGGCTTGGGAAATGCACTGTCTACCTTGCCATTCACACTTACTGTGGCCATCCCAGCCTTGGCCTGGTACAGTTCCCAAAGCTTTATGCGCATGTGAGATATATTCTTTTCTGTTTCATTTGGCATGTGTTTAAAGTACTGTCCCACTATTGGATGACAAGGGCTGCAGATGTTCATGTAACTTAAAGGAAACTGTAACCAAAATGTCAAGTTCGTAAGAATCCTCACAATGGTGCAATTATTTTCTAACCAAATCAAAAGACAGGCCTGAGAAACTAAATGTTGCTGCTTATGCACTTATAGGAATCCTTGTTTCCTTTTACAACCCTTGCAAGTTCAGCTCCAGGTGGCCTCTGCTTTTCAAGTCATGTCTCTGTATGCTTAAGACAGTGTTTCCATACAGAGAGGTTGTGGAATCTCCGTACTTAAAGAGATTTAAAGGATGTGGACCTAAGCAACCAGGTCTCAGTGGCCCTGCCTGAGCAGGGCTGGACAAGATGACCTCCAGAGGTCCCTGCCAGCCTCAATCAGTCACCCTGTGGGTCCACTCTGGGACACATCAGCCTCTAGAACAGTGAGGTAGGTAGGAGATAAAATCTTGTACTCTAGATGTTATAACTTGTAAAAATCAGTAGTGCTACAACAGTTCTTGCTCCAGGGGATAATCAGGTGAGCATTTCCACACCTTCTGGATAGACTTTGCAAATGCTGTCAGCCAACTTACAGTTTGACTGATCAAATTAAGAGCTATAAGTTAATAACATGATACATTCTAATGCTGATTCCTGCAAGGCATTATTGTTGATATTTCTGGGATTTAAAGCATTTCAACTAGTAAATGGCTGTTGCTGCCTACTGTACTTGTTAAACATCAAATGTTAGTGCAAACTTGATAGGCTAGGCCAAAAATGGAACTCAAAAATCAGTGAAAAGTCTCTTACAATGTGTATAGACCAACACAAACAAATTCTTAATTTCTAAAATATCAAGTTAAAAATTGCATTTCAGTTTTTAAATTATTCAAAAAACCATCCCATTTAAATGAGTAATAAGGGCACCATAATAAATTCTTTCCAGCTTGGTAAATCATACCATAATTTCTGCACACACTAAATGCTGACCAAATTCATTAAATGCAATAATCGCAAATTGCTTGGGGTTTCTATTCACTATTAACAGGCTTTAAATAAATGCCTATGAGATTTAGGAACAAAAGTTGTTTTTGAAACTTCCCTCCAAGGTTTTAATAAACTTAATGAGAAGGGGAAACTTGAAAAACCTCTAGAAACCTGAGTATTTTTCACTTTTGAATGCTGAAACATTGAAAACATACACAGTTCTGCTATTTCAAATGTTTTTTAGACATAAATAACTAGTCCTCTTTATTTCCAATGAGTATAGTATTCACACTATATTTATTATTTACCTCTGTAGCCCACATCCCTCATCACAGACATTCAGCCTTCAGATTCACAATTTTCAGCTGTGTTGATGCCAATTCTCCTGCCTTTAACCTGCTGGCAGCTCTGTATCCCCTCTCACACAGGAGGTCAGGATGAAATGAGAGCTGTAACCCAACATCACTCCATAAAACAACCTAACTCCTTCACTAGACCACACAGAGCTTTTCCTTAGGGACTAAAACCCACTGATCCATGCAAATGTTCAGGGCAGCCCACCTAAATTAATGAGAATGGGTATTTCTCTCATTCTCCATACTGCTACAGAACATGAGGAATTAAAAGGCACATATATTGAGGTTGAAGAAGAAACCAGTATTTTAGAATTACAGATTTATTATTTTAAAATCTATATTGACTAGGTTAGCTATGTGCAAACAATTAGGGAAGAAACAAGCATTTATGTAATCTGGTTCTTTTGTCCATGTGTTTTTAAATGACCACATTGCCATAGCACAGCTTTTTGGTGCAAAAATCAACCACCAACTTTTCACTTCCCTTAGAAGAAACTAATACAAAATTCAGGCTATAAGAAAGGGACTCCTATTTCAAAGAGGTGGTTGGTGAGCAGTAAAGCAGAAATGCAGGCTTTGATTCATTGATGTATTCACATTTTTCCAACAAATACCTATTTGATAAGGCCATTTCCTTACTCAGTCAGACATTGTACAGAAAATTTCCCCTATGAGTCACTCATTCATATTAGAATCAATCATTTTACCTGTAATAAACACGCAATGTTTGGATTTCTTCTTCTAGTTTTTTGCACTGTTGAAGAGCAGCTTCCTTTTCTTGTTGCAAAGATATCAATTCTGCCTGTGAAATGAAAAACAATCGACTAACCAATTTATTCAGAACATCCATACTTTTTTGAAAACACATCAATCTCTCTGCAATAATTTCAACCATTATTACTGCACACATAGAGTTATACTGCTGTATGTAACATAGTGTTGTGGTTTAACCCCAGCCAGGAACTAAGTACCATGCAGCTGCTTGGTCACTTCTCCTTCCTCCCACTGATGGCGTGGTGAGGAGAATCAGAAAAAGAAAGAAAAGAAAATCAAACTTGTTGATTGAGATAAGAACAGTTAAATAATTGAAACAAAGTAAAATATAATAATAACAATAACAACAACAATAACAATAACAATAATAACAACAATAATATTATTTATATGAGTAATTGTAATAAAAAGGAGAGCAACAGAGGGAGATAAATCCCAAGACAGGCAAGTGATGCACGATACAACTGTTCACCACCTGCTGACTAATGCCAAGCCTGTCCCTAAGCTGTGATCACACCCTTTCCTGGTAACGCCCCCCATTTTATATCCTGGGTGGAATGTTTTATCACACAGAATGTCCCTTTGGCCACTTTGGTGAGTTTTCCTGACCATGCTTCCTCCCAGCTTCTTGTGTACCTCCTGACTGGCCATGCAGGACACACTGAAAGTCCTTGACTTGGGGCAAGCACCACTTAGCAACATCTAAAACATCAGTTATCAACATTATTTGCACACTGAATCTAAAACACACCACTGTACCAGTTACCAGGAAGCAAACGAGCACTTCCCCAGCCTATTTAATTCTTATGAAATATTCTTTCTTTTCCTAGCATTGAAATTTTTCTATATTTTTTTCATGATTTCTGCACTAGCAGGATGATGTTTTGAATGGCTTCTCCCATGTAAGTTTTTTGAATACCTAAGGTTAGAACTCTTCAGTTCAGCCAAGTGGATATCAGCAAACACATTTCATATGATACGTATGTGTTGCTATACTGCAAAACTGTTGACCAACATACAGAAAGTGAAGCAAGGCCCTTGGCCATGAACTACTGACACAGGATTCTGGTCTGCACATGGCTCCCTGGCTGTTAAGGGCAGCTCCCATGGTAGCAGCCCCTGGCTGATGTTAGCAGCAGAAGAGCTGCTGGATAGGCAGGACCCTGAGCAGTGGCAGGCAGCAGGGACTGCAGAGACTGGCACTGACGGTACGTGCTGGGATCTGGGTGCATTCTTACCCAGGATCTGGTTTATAGAGGGGTGAGGGAATCCTTGAGCAATCACCTTCATCTCCCATCTGTGAGCCCCACCGGACACTCCCCTTCCCATCCTTGATTCACACTGAAGGGAGAGTGACTCATGACCATAATGGAAATTGCAGCATGTGGCTTGTAATTCAGGAAGGTAGCCAGCCCCAACAGGCCTTACAGTTATAGTGGAGGCAGGGAGAAATAAGTATTCATGCAGATTTAACATTGGTCTATAGCTTAATCACCATTAATTTTAAAAGTCCAGTTTCAATAGCACTGCAGGGCTGCCTTGAGGACCCAGGTACCATATAAATAAATCAGTGGGTGATTTATTATTGTAACAACAAATAAGATCAGGCTTCCACAGCAATTCCTTGACACATGAGCTTGAGCATTGGGCTGTTTTCCAATGTTCTTAATTCATGGTGTAAGTTATTAATTCTACAAATTGTAGAGCCCTTAACCAAGAGGCACATGTGTGAGAAATTCCAACTGTGGATTCTGCCAACTCTTCAGGACAGCGTTGCGGAAAAGTTTCTTGGTAAATTAAAGACCTGTTATATGAGCTACAAACCCATGAAGGGGAATGCACATAGTTCAGCTTCTAAGTCTGCCAAACTCACTGTATAATCATGAACTACTCTGCCTGTATGCCTCAAAATCTCTCTCCTAAAACAGGGCTCCCACCTGCTTCTGTTTCCTGTTTGTCTGTAAGTCTTCAAGGCAGGTGTTTTACTGTTTACTGTCAACTCCCAGTCATCTATGGGCAATTCATTCTGCTGGTTGATTAATCATGTCCTGGATACTTGGCTGATTCCTGACAAATTTTATTGAACGCTGCATTGCACAAATGCAGCTACACAAGCAGTCTCTGAACCGTGCTGCTCGGTGGGTCATGTTGCACCCAGGGTTTTGCACTGCCCAGGTACAGGACCCACTGCTGTAATTGCTCCTGTGAGAGACATCCATAAAGTTTTAACAGGAAGTTCCTTGGTGAATAAAAACTTTCTTACTATATGGGGGGCGTTCCTTCAGCTTTAAAAGCAGAAAGCGTTAATGTTTAACATCTGAGTGACAGTGGTTTTGAGCTTCTGATACTGAAAACAATGTACTGCATGCTGGCAAGCCCTAACTTCTGTCAGAAAGAGGTTAAAATCCTCTGCAGGTGAGCCTCTTGCCTGGTGCAGCTTGCTGCCTTGCAAGCAGAACTCACAGAACACAAGATGTTAGCCAAACCAAGCTATTTTCTGTAATTATACTGTTCTGTAGGTGAAACAACATTCTTAAAAATTGGAAAACACACTTGAATCAAAGTAGGTGGTTTGTTCTAGAGGCCAGTAATTAACATCCTTGCCAATTTTCAGTGTACTGTGAAGTGTGATTGAAATGGTAGACTGGAAGGAAATGTTTGCAGCTGACACACCTACTCAGAGAGATTAACGGCCAGTCTCTTTGGAGAACTATCATAAAAAATACACCTCATGTTCCACTTGCTGTTCAGGACAAGAGTCAGAGGCATTAGAGCCTTAAGACTATTATTTATGTCAGCTTTTCAGCAGAAAAAACTGCACTGATTTGACTGGGTTTGCATCTGGGTTTGTACCAATAAAAATATCAGCAAAATCAGGTTATTTGGATTTAAAAAAAACAACAAACCCGAGAGCTACAAAAAGTGAAGGGAAGAAAACCAGACATTTGTTAGCCTCCTCAGTACCTTCAGTGGAGTTGATATTAGGGAGCTTAATGAGACCAACAAAAATCCAAGCCCAAGAGTCTCTGTGCACAGCATGCAGCCATGTGACAAAATGACCCATTGTTCACAGCCCTGAAGGGTGGTAAACACAAATAAAAGAGTCAAATATCTTCACAAGGCAGAGATGTCTTCCTTCACTAGAAGAAGGAAAGCAAAACAGTGCTCATCACAAAGTTAAATTGCTAACTAAAATAATGGCATCTGCTCTACAATAAGGAATTTGGAAGACTCCTAAATATATATTGAAATCCATCCATACTGCATATGGCAAAAATCCTGCATGAGCTCACCTCTAGTAATAACAATAGCTGCTTGAGAACTTTTTAACAAAATATTGTTCTTCTGGAAAATGTCAAGCTGAGGAAATCAGAACTTTTCACAGAAATTTATTTGTTTTGATTAAATTGTTTTGGAAGGTAGGGTAAAGAAGAAGCAAGAAGAAGAATTACACACAGGTTCCTCTAGTGGTGGTTTCCCATGTAAAGGTCACTTTAGAGGTGAGCTTGGTCACCTTTTGGTATAGGTGTCACTCTCAGCAAAGCTTCTTTTTAACCCTGAAAGGGTATTCTGATCACTTGGATACTGTGAAAAATATTTCTGAAGATTTTGTTTTGTCCAGAAGTTCCTACACTTTCATATTTGGTTTAATGTGGATAGATCCTTACCCATTCTCTGTCCACCTTCCTGCAAATGAGAATTGTTGTTTCTTTATTTTCCCATTTTGAATTTTAGTAGTTTTTTTGGTGAAAATTTAAATTTTCCAATTAAATATAAAATCTAATTGCTATCTATCAAACTTAAAATAGCTGATCTCAACTAAAGAAAATTTTGGTGCTGATCTTTTTGCTTTTGCTTTTGCTTCAAAAAATTTAAAGGAACAATGTAATGCGCATGTGTTCTCTTACCACAACGTCTGGAAAAATACAAGACATAAGCAAAGGAAAAACAGAGGACAAAACTAGTATTTATCTTTTCCTAATTCCTCTAGGGTGAACATGAGCACCCTCAACTCTAAATTGAAAGAGGTAAGAACACACAGCCTCCTATGCTGTCAGGTTCTCTCTGGAACCTCACCTTTGTGTGAGAGACGGCTTTTGTAAGAGTTTTCAATATCCAATACAAAAGAAAAAATCCAATTAACTTCACTAATAAAGTTTCATAGCTTTATTTTAATTTATTTTCTCGTGCATTTATATACAACATATATATATATGTATATATATATATATATGTATTTTATATATATATATAAAATAAGCATTTATTTTTCCTTTCTGAGATAGGATAAACAAACAACCTTTTCTGTTACCTCTCACTAAGCAGGCTCTTCATTACCTTGATCAATTTAAATGCATGTCTCCTCAGTACTCTGTACTCATGCCAGTAGAAACCTCTCACCTGACACATTCTTGTACTCTTTTTGTTCCCAGTCACCCTCCAGCCTGTTCTGCACACTGGTATTACCCAGTTGACAGTGGAAACTCTTATTCATCCTGAAAAGATAATACCTTACACTTGGCACTGAAATTCCACCCCACTGCTTTTGTTTTTCCAGTACTTGAGGCCATCCCAATCTTTCTGCAAGACAGCTTGAACTTACTTTGTATTAATAATATCTCCATGCCTTATTAAAAACAATTCCCAGCTCTGTATCATCAAGCAATTTTGTTGGCACATAGCTGCTCTTCCTGCCAAAGGTTCTCAATGACAGCATTAAAGAAAACTGGTTCAGCACCAGCTGGTAAGAAATTGGAGAGAAATTCCACTAGTGAAATCCTTGGACCTTAACATTTCTTCCTTCAAATCTGTTTGCTGCTGCCTTCCTGCTAACTAGTTCCTTATTGCCTTTGACTAATCCCTCATCTCCTTCATGGGTACATGACATTTTGCAGACAGACATGAGCTAAACGTGCCCATTCTTCCAAACAAGAGACGCTGGGTGAACCCAGTGAGCAGCAAACAGCATTTCCCACATTAAGCTTGTGCCTGCTTGTAAAATAACAGTATATGCATTCCCCACTGTAA